TGCGTTCGAAGTTCGAACTCCACCTCTGAGCAAGCGATCCCGCAGCGTCCCCCGCAACTTCCGGCCGTGCAGGCAACGAGTCGAAGCGCCGGAGACTGGCAATGTGGAGGCGAACGTAGAAGACCAGCTAGTGACTTGACTAGCTGGTCTTCTACGTTCGCCTCCACATTGCCAGTCTCCGCCGCTAGTCGAAGTGGCGGAGACTGGCAATGTGGAGGCGAACGTCCGACAGCCTCCCACCCTTCCTTTCATGGATAGCCCCTTCGAGCCTTTCCTGACTCCTGCGATGGTAGTGACGGACCGTGTGTAGGAGTGTTGCCAGCTCTGGAACGAGAGCTGGCGACTGGCAGCGTGTGCTGCAGCAAGGATCCCAGGGCAGGCCGACCCCTGCAGAGACCTGGAGATCCTTCCGTTGCTGCCCGAGGAGTCCGAGGAGGATGACGAGTGAGACAGCAACCATGCGGTTGCCCCCTGAGCCCCAGGCATGCCTGCCGTGGCTTGCGAGGCGTCGGGCCTGAGACGGCCAACTGCTACACTAAACGCCCCGTCACAGAGGACCCCAGAAAGATGGCTGGTATCTTGCGCAATTTTTGGGGGCTGGCTTGCGAAAAGTGCTTGGCTGCAAACTTCCAGGGCTTGCCGCCCTTCGACCTCCGTGCCCATACTAGGCCCCAAGGTTTCCAGAAAGATGCTTGGTAGAGACAACTGATTGCCAGCATAAGAGGCTCCTCCCTTCTCGAGCCCCAGTCAACATTTCTAAGTTGGGTATGGCGAGCTGGTGGAGGAATGCAACATCGCCAGCGAGCTTCAAGGGGTGGCCGACATCTGCACGGAGGAGCTGCCACGGAGTGCAAGGATCTGCGGTCCACTCCTCTGGCTGGGCTGCAGACTGAGCGCGACTGCTGCCCTGCAGATCCCGTGCCGACGCGAGTGTCTTACAGGTCTCCAGAAAGATGGCTGGCACCTTGTAACCCTCGAAGGGCTTTTTCCACAAGGCTGGCAGCCTTCAAGCAAGCATGTTGTCCAGGACTGCGCAGAAGCATGGGCCTTTGGAATTAGGTCGCCCAAATCCGACAGTGCTCCCCTTCGATGCTGCACTCCTGCGGACGAATCTCTGCCTGCTGCGGATCGCAGCGTTGTAAGTCTTGGAGCCAGAACGGATGTTTCAGCGGCGGAGTGGAGTGAACTGGAAGGCTCAAGCTGAGATTATGGGAACGTAGGCTGGCGAGAAGTGGTTGCTGAATGCTGCGAGCTCTGCAAGATCCAAAGGAGGCATTCGGAGGTTGTCAACTACGATGAGCTGCAGATGGCGGCATCACAGCCCAGGAGGATATGTACATCCCATCCTGCCCAACGCCATGTTCTCCAGAACCCTTGGGGGCCACTACAAGGTGCGGTGCCAAGGGCTTGACAGAAGCATGACCTTACTCGCGTTCTTGCATGTTGTGGGCCAGTGGCATATACATCCAAATGGATATTGGCAAGATGTTGAAGCTGCTCATGGAAGCGATTGCTATGCCAGGGCCATCCACGGCCCCTTCCAGTGCGAAAGTCTTTCAGGCGTCCCAGAAAGCAGTGACTGGTACCTTGCGGTTTATCCCGAAAACCTGATGGCAAGCACGAACTTGCATGATGCATCTTGCGGAGATTCTACAAGCCACTCTCCTATTCCACTCGTGGACGGAACAGCGCCAGCAGGAGACGGCAGGAAAAAGCAGGCGCCATGGCAGGTGCGGCTGGTCCCTGAGCGTGCCAGCACTCCTGCGTCAGTTGTTGTGAGGAATTCGATGATGACAAAGCCTCGGGCAAGCTGGACATTGCTCTCGGCAAGGTGACTTGCAAACCCCAAAGGCCTCGACGCCCTTTCTGCCTCCCACAGCCCAGAGTGGATCCGTTAAGCCCTAAACCCTAAACCCAACGTACTTGTTCTTAAGGGCCGGAAACAAAAACCCGACGGTTTAGGGTTTAGGGTTTAGGGTTAAGGGACTTCTTTCCAGGTGCCCATCCTGGAGGTCGGGGACTTCTCACTCCCCCAGAGCAAGGCCATCGAACGATATCTGGCCCAAAGCTCAGAGCCAAATCCCAAACCCCAAGAAAACCCTGAGCCTTAGACCCGAAAACCGCCGACACCCTAAAGGCCCTAAACTGCCTACACCCATCTACACCCTTCTAAACTCTAGACCCAAAGCTCGCGGCACCCTTCCCTGAAAACTCGGATCGATTCTCGAAGCTCTGGTGCCACGAGGCTAGAAAGCTCGGGATGATGGGCGACAGCGAAGAGGAGGAGGCGAGAATGGGGTGTAGGGCGGTGTTCGATTAGGTCGAGGGTTTAAGGCTAAGAGGTTTAGAGAGTTTCAGGGTTCGATAGGGTTTCGGAGATAAAGCTTTAAAAAAGCGGCCCTTCGACCCCCGACAGGCGCTTGTTGATGCAATGGCAGAGCATGTACGGGACATCAACGATGCTCCTTGGCCTACCTGACTCAGGGGAGTTCCCTAAGCATCGGCCAAAATGTCATAACTGGGCTCAGTTTCAGCAACAAGATATACATACGAGGGCCTGCCGGAGGACTCAGTCGGTCTTTCAAGCGGTTTTCGTGTCAACTGGCGCGACAAAGTCGACGAAGCATTCGTCGCTGTCCACTCCGGTTGAAGTGTGGCATTAGAAATGGCGCCGGTATCTTGCGGACGAGAGACCTGCACAGAACCCTGCACTGCGAAGCCAACAGCCTTCC